TTTGTCAAGGAAGGAGGTAGAAAATGCTAAAAAAAAGAAAAAAGAAAAAAAAGTCAGTTGCTATCTCAATAGACAATGCATGATATAGTATTGGAACTTAGGGTATTTTTTTCAATGTTTGCATTTATATTCCCCTACTAAAAGATGCATTTTTATCAGATTTTTCCCCCTCAAAACAGTGAATGGCCCCCTCCCCCATCTGTGGGGGTCTCACTCTAGGCCAGTCAATTTGGAAGTTCTCATGAGGGTTGGGGTGGGGGTGGAGAAGGAAGCTGAGGAGGAGGGAAGCTGGCACACAAGAGTCCTCTTCTTCCTCTACTGGAAATCTAGGCTATACCACAAGTTAGCCACGTCCTCCCTGGGAGCTAAAAGAGAACCCAGAGTGTGGGTTATGATGACACCAAGGTCAAAACGCTGTTGCTTGTGGGTCACATTTTGTCTTATGGAAGGATACAATGCTGTTTGGTGTTATGAGGCCATATGTTGCAGCCAGAAGCCCTGGGTTCAAACCATGCCTCCAACACTTACTAGCCCTGTGATCTGGAGTTAGTCACTCAGTCTCTCCAAGCTCCATTTCTTTCATTTGTAAAATAGGAATGATCATAGAAACAAACTGAACACATTGGACTAAATGTGTTTTTGAGAATAAAGTCAATGGATGGACCGGTAAGCTTAGCCAAGTGAGCAGCATATTATAACAGCTCACGTGACAAAAGGTCTTACTGTTGGTTTCTAGAAAGTAATAGGCATTTTGTCAAGAAAACAGGTAGTTTATACAAGTTGTATCTGAGTCAGTAACACCCTTTAGCCATTGACTGAAATGGAGAACTATGGGGATGTTTATTAATCTTACATAAAACAAGACACTGCGCTGATGGAATTTGGGTGCTCTGGTTCACCCTCGTGGGGCTAGCAGAGGCGACCACTAGCTCCTGGACTGCTACACCAAGGAGCATGGGACCCAGAGCAGCATTTGTGGGGAAGGGTCTTCCTTTTTTTTATTTAAGTATAATTGACACACAACATTACATTAGTTTCAAGCGTACAACATAGTGATTCAAGAGTCGGTATGTTATGTGGTACTCACCACCAGTATTAGTTAACCCATCCTGTTACATCACTCTTATAGTATCATTGACTGTGGTCCCTATACTGTGCCTTTCGTCCCCATGATGTATCCCTTCCATAACTGAAAACCTGTATCTCCCACTCCCCTTAACCCATTCTCCCCATCTCCCCACCCCCTCCCCTCTGGTAACCACCTGTTCATTCTCAGAGCAGCATTTCTGAGTGCTGCCCAGTGTCCTCCATCAGAGCAAAATCTGTAGACAGAGCTCCACTTAGAAAGGTAAGCAACTGTGGGGGTTCTTTCCTGCCATGGTCTACATGTTTGTGTCCCCAACAAATTCATATGGTACAATGCTAGTGTCCAAAGTTGATGGCATTAGGAGTGAGGACTTTAGGAGGTGATTAGGTCATGAGTAATCCTCATGAATGGAATTACTATTCTAGAAGAGAGCCCACAGAGATTCCTCACCCTTCCATCATATGCGGACACAGCTGGAAGGTGGTGTCTATGCAAAATACCATCACAGCTACATTCTGAACTCCATTCTCCTCACCTGACCACCATGTCAGCTTCCCCTAGAGAGCTGTCACCCCACCCCTAACTGCTTGTCCTCTGAAATTTTAAATGAAACAGTCTGTCCTCTGGCCACAGACTTCTGCCCTCACTGGTCTCTATTTGTTCCCACTACACTGGTTCTTTAACTTCACAGGGAGCCCAGTTCCCCAGCTGTTTCTTCTTTTCAGCCTTCTTCTGCCTCCTCTTCCTTCCCTATCCACCTGATGCTCCTTAGGTTACTGTCCACCACACTTACCTCTCCTGCCACACATTCCTCCAATGGCCAAAGTCCCAATTTGTATTAATTCTATTTTTTCCAGCTGTCTGGCAGGCTAATGGAAGTTCCTCAAGAGCTCAAATACAAAACTGCCATGGCATTTCATCATGAAAATATCTCCCCTCCCCTCGATCCTGCCCCCACTTCTCCATTCCCTCACTCAAGAAATAACTCACCTTCTACTTGACAGGGAAAATAAAATCTGTCAAATGAGAATTTGCTCCATTTCCAGCTACTGCCCCTACCCTGAGTCCTTCCTTCTTGCTTCTTTCAGAGTGAAATATGTCACCTCCCTGCCTCCTGTCTAGAGCTAATTCCTGTGTAGGATCTCCATCCCAGTTCCTCCCATCTCAGAGGTCTTGCACAAAAAACTGTCTTCTCTATTCCCTGTTATTTCAATGTATTTCTCTCTACAGGCTTCTTCCCATAAGCTCTGAAACATGCTAGTGTCTCCCCTGTATAAAAGAAAGGGAGGAAGGGAGAGAGAGAGAGGAGGAAGGAAGGAAGGCGTGGAGAGAGGTAAGGAGGGAGAGAGGGAGGGAAGGATGGAGGGAGGGAGGGAAATCCTTTCATGTCCCTTTCCAAACACCACTCTTCCTTTTCTCCCCTTCACAGGAAAACCCCTTCCATATTATGTCTGTGTCTCTGTTTCTCTCCTCCCATGCCTTCTTCAGCATACTGCTTGTGCAACAGCAAGTCTATTCTTCAACTGTGTTTACATGGGCTTCAGCTAGAAAAAGTACAACAACACCCACTATGATTTTGATAACCCGCCTCCTAAGATTGGGCTACAAGTTCAACATCTACCCAGATCTTGACAAGCGCTTGACCTCAGAGTACTTTCTGAAGGTCTATGGAAAGGATAAGGACTTGGCCATCTTGTGCTTCCATGGAAGGGCATGCCTTCCAGTTCATCAGCTGTGGGAGAGATTACTCCCACTTCCACTGTCAGATCACAGTGGTGTCTTCAAGCTCTGATTGCCCTTCAAGCACTACCATTACTGTGGTGATGGGCCAATAGATAGATGGACAGATCCCTAGGATTCCAGAGCAAGATCATGCCTTCTGCAGCTGAAAACTATTTATCATTTGAAAACCAGCTCCTGACATACTTCTCATCCTCCAATACCTGAACATGCCAAGTGAATATTTGACCAGAGCCGCACATCATGAACTAGGTATTGTTATATTTATCAAGTATATTATCAGGACAGCTCAGCAGCAATCCATTATATAATGAATATCATACATTTAGGATCCAGTTGGAGTTACAGTCAGTTACATAAACAGGTCATCACTTACCTCAGTTAGGCTGATGCAGCTCTCTCAATCCACACCTTTGGCCCATTGGGTATGACTAGCTGGCAGAGGAGAGAAAACATCTTGGGCCCAGATGACATACTGGTTGGCTTGATACGAGGGAGGAAACCGACATCTCCTGTGCTCAGCCACATTCAGGAGAGCCCCCAAAGGACAGTGGTGAGGGGAAATTCTCCCACTGGGCAGAGTTTTGAGCAGTATAGTTGGCCATGTCCTTTGTATGGAGGGAGAAATAGTCTGAGGTAAGAATGTACATAGACTCTTGGGCAATGGCAAGAGGTTTGGTTGGTTGATTAAGGCCTGAAACGAAATTTGGACAATGGCTGACAAGATGGAAGCTCTTCCCAAAGCTGACACAGCTGTGGCCCCAACTGAATGCCTGACCTACCAGAAGAGGGCAATACAGAGTTCTTACTACACCATGGCCAACAGAGAGAGAGACAGCCACTTTGAACTCTTTAGCCTGGACATAGCAGTGATTTAGATACATAATATAAAATCTTAAGCTAGGGAAATAAATAGATATGGGACCTCCAAGTATATTTCTCTTACCATAGTTTTATTTTTACCATTTTTATCAAAGGTCAATGGATCTCCTGGGTCTGCATTCTTTTTTAAAGTACATCAACTTGTCAGCTAACATTTATCCTTACCAAGCAAGAATATGGAGATAAACACTAGCCCTGAGTGGCTGCAAATTCAGCTGAAATGCATATTATAGGCAAATATTGTGTTTCATTGTGGGCCTCAGCTGTTCAGGAAGACATGTCTGCCCGAAGAACACTCCCGCCATATTTAGCAGACCCTGCCAGGTCTTCTAAGCTGCTTCCTTCAGCCCCTCCCATCTCTAGACCCCAAACCTGCTAAGCTAAGCTGTAAGCTGGTAGCTAGGCTTCAGAATCACTGTATTAGCCTGGAAGAGTTAATGCACTCCAGGGTACTTAATTTTCTCCTAGGGAGTCATCTGCTCATTGGTAGGAAATAGATGACTAAGCAATCATTATCAACTCTGCAGGATAATTCTAGCACAGGGGAGCAAATAATCCATGGACAACATGCACACAAAGCTTATTTATTGTGAAATAAAGGAGCCAAGCAGCATTTTACTGAATATTAGAGGACAAATCATGACATCACTGAGCACTCTGTTACTAGTGTGGTATGTTTTTCCTGGGGCATGACAGGTTTTCTTTTCATGGTTTCACAATAAATATTTCAGACAGAAGTCCTAAGTAATACATTCAAATGCTTTTATTTGCCTTGACTTCACTTTACTTCTGTTTCTACCCACAAAAATATTACCTCTTCACCTATAATTACTAATGTCTTGAATCAAGAGTACTTTCACCTTCATTAAAATACAAATCAATGTATCAATCAGCATACCTTTACTGCATAAACCTTATACAGAAGGTGTTGTCCTGGTGTAGGTCAGCACAGAAAGAGTGTAAGACATGCTCCCCATCTTCACAGGTCTTAGAAAGCTATCATTTTATTCATTGTTTCAGCACTAGTCTTATTTACCATAAAAAATTATATTAATAGAACTTAAGAATTGCAATTGCTGGGCGCCTGGGTGGCTCAGTGGGTTAAGCCTCTGCCTTTGGCTCGGGTCATGATCTCAGGGTTCTGGGATCAAGTCCCACATCGGGCTCTCTGCTTGGCAGGGAGCCTGCTTCCTCCTCTCTCCCTGCCTGCCTCTCTGCCTACTTGTGATCTCTGTCTGTCAAATAAATAAAATCTTAAAAAAAAAAAAACATTAAAAAAAAAAGAATTGAAATTGCCAGTTGAGAATCATATTGAGAAAACTAAAAAAATTTCCAGAAATTACTGTTTTAATATTTTCTTAGAATCTAAGACTTTTAGCCTTTTTCAAAATAGAAATTTAAGTATGTGGCCTTCACAGTTTACTAAGATTTTCATTCAAGTGGCACTATTTCTATTTAAAGTTTAATACAGTTATGCATGAAACCAAATTGCAACTCCTGGGGAAATGCATCTTTTAAAAATCATTTAAACATCTTCTATAATCCCTGTATTCAGACCTCGTATCGGTGAGAGTGATGTCAGATTCTTGGTCTACTCTTAAGTTACCAAACACACCTACCATTTAGACATGCTCTTGAACTAAATCCTAAAACAAAGTTAAGCAGTATATTTTAGCAGAGCTCAGGTCTAGATGCTGCCAGGCTAGTGGATGGGGACAATCACTCTTCCAGAAGGCGCCGGCCCTCTTTAGACCCAACAGATGTCATTTTCTTTGTTTAAATTCAATTCGGCATTGTCCTTCTGGCTGTTGGACACCCACCAAATGGAGAGGACTCTAAAAGCAGAAATGTAGAAGAAATATAGAAATTAAGAGACATAAGGTTTTAGACCAAAGGTTTATTCAAGTGTAATTATCTCTAAAAGTACGTCTAGGTTTAGAAGACCAGATGTGTTTGCTTTATGTGTCTTATAATGTCAAGAATCAATTTTAGCCTTCCATTGAAGGAACGGACATTTGCAATCTGTTCTATCAGCCTTGAGGGTGGGGGGAAATCAAGAACAGGGAAAAGACAATCAGTCCAATTTAAGTCATCAGTCTATTGTCAGGTTTGAATGCAATTGGACACAGAATGGGCTTCTTAACACGGAGATTCCTAGGGGCATTGACAGAATGAGGTGCAGGGTTGTCATGGACTCCTTGAAATTGCAACTGCAAATTTGTGGGTATGAAAAGTTACATACTTTTCTAAAAAAGGGATCCATAGTTTTCGTGAGATTATCTAAGGACACATGACACCCCAAAAGGCAAAACAGAACAAAGCCAACCAAACAAACAAACAAAACTTCAATGTATTAGCAAAAATGTGCTTGCTTTTGCAGGAGAATTGAAGTTGGTCTTATAAATGCTCAAAATGAACAGCCCCTATTGTTAGCATCTGGACACTGCTGCGTAGTTGTGGATCTTGGAAAGCTCTATAGTATTTGTTTAGTGCTTGGTTCTTAATGAGAGTTAAAATTAATTTCCTAAGACCCTTTGAGATAAAATAAAACACTGGGCTCCAGAAAAATTAAAATTGTGGGTTCTAGAATTTGATTTTTACTAATATGACAAGTATATTTCTTTGGGGAAGCTAATTTCCAAGCCCAGAGATGCCCCCATGCTTGACAAGAGTGTTCAGAACATGCTTTGGCAGCCCACCCCCTCCCATCTTCTACAAGAGCCTGGTAATTTGAAGGTCATTCCCTGTATTTTTTGATCACCTCATTTTACCTTATTAAAACAAATCCAATAATTGCATAATTTTAATTTATCTCTTTCTAGAATAAGAATTATGAAATGAAATGCCCTTTGAGATCAAGAGAATTCATTTAGACATACTTTTTACAAAATGAAATAATATTTCTTTTTTTCCCTTTTGTGAGATATTTCCTTAAAAATGCTCTTAGTGGGGCACCTGGGTGGCTCAGTGGGTTAAGGCCTCTGCCTTCTGCTGGAGTTGTGATCCCAGGGTCCTGGGACCGAGCCCCGCCTTAGGCTCTCTGCTCCGCGGAGACCCTGTTTCCTCCTCTCTCTCTGCCTGCCTCTCTGCCTACTTGTGATCTCTGTCTGTCAAATAAACAAATAAAATCTTAAAAAAAATATGTTCTTAGTATGTCAAAACAGAAATAGAATGTGTGTAGCTCAGTATAATAAATATAACTAATAGAATTCTTAGCTAGGAAGAGAGAACTTGGCAAAATCTTGCCTAAGAAACTGGTCAAAATTACTGATTGCTGGAGTTAGGTTTACATGGTTTTGACAAATGTCATTCTTCTAATCTGGTAAGGCATTTCTGTGTCCTCTCACTGGTGGGAAAATATTTGGATGGGGAATCAGTCCTGGGCAAAATTGTGACATCCCACTCAATGGACCAGGAACTGGTATTTTGTGAGTATATTCCTGGCCCTGATCTTCATTTTGATAATAAAACTATACTTGCTGAGAACCTCTGTGAAAGGTTTTTTGGTTTCCCTTTCATGGTAGGATTTTGAGGGCTCTTCATCGCCAGTAGTTAGTGTACTCAAAATAGAAGTGCAAAAGAAATCAGGAGAAAGTGCTGAAATGTGCATATTTATGAGTAATATAATATTGTCTGTGTCACTTAGGCACTTACATAATTTCTATTGAAATGTCACCCAAGAGTTTTATTTATCCCTCCATACATTAGCCTTATTATATCAAGAGTAAATCAAAGTACAACAGGCTATGCGAACAGCCCTGAAATTGCAATGCTTAATTTCTGAGCTTTATCCTCAGTTGAAACAGCACATTTTATCCAGAGTCTTCAAAATGACTTCCAAACATCTAGAATTGAATTGAACTTTCCCTGTTGCCTAGGACAGTGATCCTCAAAGAGTGTTATTCAGACCAGCAGCATCAACAGCACTGGGAACTGGATAAAAATGCAAATTATTGGGGCATCTGGGTGGCTCAGTAGGTTAAAGCCTCTGCCTTCGGCTCAGGTCATGATCCCAGGGTCCTGGGATCGAGCCCCACATCGGGCTCTCTGCTCTGTGGGGAGTCTGCTTCCTCCTCTCTCTCTGCCAGCCTCTCTGCCTACTTGTGATCTCTGTCAAATAAATAAATAACATATTTTTAAAAAATGCAAATTATTGCCCCTCCCTAGATGTCCCTAGATCATGCACTCAAGGGGTGGGGGTCCAGTATTCTGATTCCAGGTCATTCTGATGTTTGCACGTGTTTGAAAGACACTAGTCTAGGAGAACAGACCTATAGGAACACAGAGGAGTTCAATGACTAGACAATTCAATGGTCAGTGGTAGGAGTAAGGTCACAGCCTTTTCATTCTTGCTTACTGTCTTTACTGTTGCTCACTGTCTGCTCTTTTCTCCCATGCTGTTTCTTCCCAAAAGGACTAAGGCCTATGACTTGCCTCTAAAACTGATGGTTCCTTTTGGGACCCATAGACACACCTCTTTAGGGAAATAAGCCCCAAATCAAGGCCATGTCAATTTAGCACAAGAAAAAATGTCAAAAATTGGTGAATTCACTGGGGACCTCCTTAACACTGTAAGTGGTGGGAGCACTGCTATTTGGTCCTGGTCTTGTGGTTCCATGGCATATAGGTCAGATCCAGAAATAAGGGAATTAAGGGATATCTTCTCAGTCCAGTTCCATGTAAGACATCTGTTAAGATCAAGCCTACTTAGGGAAATTAGCAGCTTATCTCTAGTAGTTAAAACCAAGGTGTTAGAATTTATACCAAAATTAAAAACTGTGATATTTAAAATCCTGAAAACACTTACCTGCTTTGGTAATGGATCTAGAAGACTACAGTCATATTTATGAAGTATTAAAATAATACATATTTGAATCTGTAACAGAGCAAACCACCTGAAAAGAAAATATGAAATTATTACTTGGTTGTGAAAGATACATAAATATCTACCAAGAGAGAATATCTAGAAAGCATGCATATTTCAGAGCAAGGATGCTCTTTTTCACTATAGGAACTTTTACCATTAAAAAGAATAAGGAAGAACTTATTCTTTTCTTTTATAATACTGTCTACTCCAGAGGGTAGCTGGGATAATTAAATTGCTTAAAAATGTATGTAAAATGCTTAGCCAGTGGAAGCGCTAACAAAAAAGAGTCCAGGTCTCTCTTCAAAGTTTCATATCAGTGCTTTCCATCATGGTAGCCACTAGCTACGTGTGGTTATTTAAACTTAAATAAATTAAAATGAAACCAAATGAAAAATTTCAGTTCTTCAGTTGTACTAGCCATATTTTAAGTACTCAGTAGCCATATGTGGCTACTGATCTCAATACTGGACAGTACATCTTTAGAACATTTTGCATGATCACGTGAAGTTCTATTGGACACTTGTCTGATCTAAACTCCTACTGCCCATTAGAAATTACTGCATAAATGTTCATAGGCAAATAACAACCCATAACTACCCCATCACTACCAAATTTCCCATAACTATCACATTTATTATTCCCTTTGTAACCCTTCACTCAGTGTCTCCAAACTTTTTGATCGTACACCCTGGCAATGAAATATTTGAGCATACCCGACAACATACTGATACTCATTTACTTATAAAGTATATACACATACTACTGTATTAGTTTACTATATGCTTTGCAAGACACGACACACACAAAGAGAAACTAAAAATATAGAGAAGAATATAAATGGAATTCTGCTATTTTTTCTTGCATCTCAGTGGGTTGTTTTGAGCTCTCCTTGGGCTAGGCAATGCCTCGTAGGGGTCCTAGCTCTTAATGAATACAATTGGTTCAACAGGTCAGAAAATTTTAAGTCATCTGAGACTCAATCCTCTGCTTCACTTTCTATATCCAGTTAGGCACTAGGTCCTTTTGTTTTATCTTCTCAATACTACCTGATCTCTCTCCTTATCTCTAGTCTCTCCACAACTGCCTCAGTGAGGTTCTTCATGATTGGTCTCCTGGATTACTAAATTAGCTCAGCTTCCAGACTAATCTTCCTGTTTCCAGTTTCACTTCACTCTATTTTATTCTTCACTCTACCACTGGAGTGAACTTCCTAAAATGTAAAACTATCCTCATTTGACCCAGTCACAGACATAATTTGTCAATGCTTCCTATTTTCTTCCAAATGTCATAGGAGAACATGGACAGCCTTTGAAATATGCCGCCTCTCTATCTCCCCAATTTCCTCCCCACTGACTCCTCTTTGAAACCCATGTTCCAGCCATCCTGTATACCTAACATCTCCTGAATGGTGACACTCTCTATTGCAGCTCAGTCTCCTCTGGAGGCATTCTCTGATCACTTGCTTCAACGACGAGGTACGCTTCCTCTCCACTTCTGCAGTCCCATGTACACACCTCAGCCATAGCATCTATTGCACTGAATTGCAATTGCTTATTAGCCATTTCTCTTCTAGAGGAGGAACTGTATTGTTGGGACTTATCAGTGCAGAGAATTGTACTGGTGCCTAATCATGTTCTGAATGTAATGTAATGGAAGAATGAATGAATGGATAGACGATGGAAACAGATACCTTCCATAAAACAAATTCAGTTTCCGGTCCTTTCCAGCTTTCTTTCTTTGTGCTTCAGTGGCACTTTACGTAGTCTTCCACCAATGTCATTACTTACAATCTGACTATATCTTACCATATTATAGTTAATTATTTGACGCCCTATACCCTTATAAACTATTGTATTCACAAATGGTTGGAACCACTGTTCCACTGAATCCTCAATATTTATTGAATGACTGAATGATTATGAGTGATCTTATATTCATCTCAGATAATTACATTTGTTGCCTACTAGTATTCTTGAAACATCTTGACTATATTTTACTTCAAATGAAATCCTGAGTACTCCAGCTATTGTTAAAACCCACTTGGATACCACATCACTTCTTCACAAATATTTATAATGTGAATTTGACCCTACTTACTTATATGGGCTAAAAACAATTTATTCTAAGAGACTATCAATGTCTGTTAGAGTAAAATATATACAATACTTACTCATTCGAATCAGAAAGCAATTTTAAGAAAAAGCAAGTCTGCTAATTTGTGTGCAGGCTCAGAATTTCTCACAACTAAATTTCTGTCAAACTCCTAACAAAATGGAACTTCCACTTCTGGCCATGTCCTGCCCTAAATAACTCAAAAACTGAGTAAGAAAGAAAAAAAAAAATGAGCAAGACTTACAGTGTAGGATGGAAATTTCCAAGAGAAAAGAAATAAATGAGGTGAATCCTGCAATCTACAACTCACCGTCCCTGGCAGATTTCAGGTCACAGTGCAAGGAAGGAAAAGCCCACACAGACCTGAGGGTCTCACCACATCAAAAAGACAGAGATCAAAGTTCAGGGAAGAATTTGGAAGAAAGAATAAAAGAGAGGAGAAAGTTTCACAGAGGCAGCAAGAGTGCTTCCGAGAACTACATAGGAGTCTCCTTGGGTATTTGGCTGAGTACTGATCTCAGCAAGTGAGAGAAAGCTACTGAGGTGGAGACGAAAGATGAAAAAGAAAGCTAAGGAGCCATAAGCTGAGTAATGCCCAGGGCTCCCACAAGTTATGGAAGCTTGTGTTCCCACATGCAAGAGTGGGAAGATCCTGTAACAAAAACAATTGATTAGGTCTTTAAAAGGTTATGGCCTTGGAAGTGGTATTATTTTATCTTAAAAGTAAGTGTCACTCCTGCTTTACCTTAACAAAGCTTAATAACAAGTCTTCAAAACTTGTTTTTCTGAGCAACTAACTACATGCCACAGTAAAGCTTAAAATTAAAGGAATACAATAAAATTTAGTATCCGTGACACTTAACATCTATGTCTTGAATTTATTCAAAAAATAATCATGCCTAGAAGAAGCAGGGAAATATGGCATGCAAGTAAGAGAAAAACCATTCAAAAGAAATAGATGCTGAAATGATAGATATTAGAGATAGCTAGTTAGATATAATCCAGATGTTCAAAAAGGAAGAAGCACAATGAAGAAAGAAATGGGAAAATTAAAAAAATCATACTGAATTTATAGCAATGAAGAATATAGTCTATTTGATGAAAATACACCGGATGGGATTTACAGAAGATAAGACACTGCAAAAGAAAAGATCATGGTACTTAATGGAACAATGGAAAATATCCAAAATGAAGTACATAGATTAAAAAGACTAGGGGTGCCTGGATGGCTCAGTGGGTTAAAGCCTCTGCCTTCGGCTCAGGTCATGATCTCAGGGTCCTGGGATAGAGCCCTGCATCAGACTCCCTGCTCGGTGGGAAGCCTGCTTCCCGCCCCTGCCGCCTGCCTCTCTGCCTCTCTGTCTGTCAAATAAATAAATAAAATCTTTAAAAAAAATAAAAATTAAAATTAAAAATAAAAAGACTAAAAAAAGAAATAAATGGAGTATAAGTAACCTATAAAATAATATCAAGGACTCTAGCATACATGTAATTTGGTGATGCAGATAGGTAGATAAGAAAAATATTTGAAGAAATAATAGCTGAAACATTTTATAATTTGTTAAAACTATTAATTTACAGAGCTAAGAAGCACAATGAACCCAAAGCAAAAGAAATGTAAAGAAAACTATTCCAAGGCAAATCATAACTAAATTATTAAAAAGTGACAAAGGAAAAAATCTTAAAAGCTGTGGGGAGGAGGGAGACAAAAATAAATAAGCAAATTAATTAATTAATTAAAATGATGACAGACTTCTCATCAGAAATTATGAAAGCCAGATGACAACAGAAAAACATCTTTGAAGATTTGAAAGAAAAAAAGGAAATATTGTTTTTTATAATAATACACTAACTCTATCATGAGGGAGACCAGCCTTGATAATTTGGGGGTAAATATTTAATTTCCTCTTTATAGATATGGAGCATAACATCTCATAGGAAAAAAAGATGATTGCCTTTGGGGGCTATGTGAAAGAGAGTGTTGAAATGGCCATCAGTTATTCAGTAGAGAATTTGAAAAATACACATTTTGAACATATCTTAAGAGAGGGGGAGATGGTGTGCCATGCCCACGAAGGACTGTTTTGAAGAACTCAAGTCCGAAGGACAATGGTGGACAGTCATGCTGAAAGCCCCCAGTGTTGTTCTACACTCAGACTTGGAGAAATGCACTAATGGAGGAAGGTGATGGATATTGGAGTGAAAGCAAGTCCTTGGGGAAGGGATGAAGCGAAAAGGAGGGTGACTGCTCTGTGGCTATTTTGCAACAGATAAGCACAGCCCTGTTACAGGAGATAATGGTAAGGACAGGGGACTTCTGTGAAGTGCTTTTCTCTTGGGCTATGGTAAAAGAAGTATATATTTTTAAAAATTTTATTTATTTGAGAGAGAGAGAGAATGAGTAGGAGGGGCAGAAAGAGAGGGAGAGAGAGAGTCTGCAGCTGACTCTGTGTTGAGCACAGAGTCCAACTTGGGTGTTATGAGACCTTGGGGAACTTGGGGCTCAATCCCACAACCCTGAGATCATGACCCAAGCCAAATCAAGAGTCAGACACTTAACTGACTGAGCCACCCAGGTGCCCCAGTAAAAGAAATATTTTATGTACAATTTTTTAAAAAAAATTTAGTTATTTATTTGAAAGAGAGAGAGGGAGAGAGCTTGAGTGGAGGGGGAGGAGCAGAGGAAGAGAGAGAGAATCTCAAGCAGACTCCTGGCTGAGCACAGAGCCCGATGTGGGCTCAATCTTACGACGCAGGAGATCATGACTTGAGTTGAAATCACACGTTGGATGCTTAACCGACTAAGCCACCCATGTGCCCCATGTGCAATTTTTTTTTTAAAGATTTTATTTATTTATTTGACAGCAGAGATCACAAGTATGCAGAGAGGCAGACAGACAGAGAGGAGGGGAAGTA